CAGACCCTTTTAGCTTAATCTTCACTACACCTTTACCAACAATCTCACAAGATTGTTCATTACCAAGGTAGACTTTACCAAGGTTTCCGGGAACATAATTCTCGAAGAATTCTCTCTGCGAAGTAGCGTGGAAAGATGCTCCAGAGTCTAACACCCAAGACTCCTCCTTGCTCTCCAAAGAGCATATTAATGCATCATCTCTTCCTGAGGTAGAAGCAATATTTGCCTCTGCTTTCGCCTCCTGATTCTTCGGTGCATTTTTGCACTGATTTTTGTAGTGCCCGGTCTGCCCACAGTTCCAACACTTGATAGTTTTTGAGTTGTTAGAACTACGATGATTTCTGGATTTGGACCTGTTATCCCTTGATTTTCCACGTCCATTTCCTCTGGTTGGAGCCCTCCCTCTTGACTCTGTATGTAATACTGAAGAGGTTGAGGATTCACCCGACTCTCTCCGTCGGATCTCTTCACTGAGAACCAGATCACGAACATCATCTGATTTCAACTTATTGCTTCCCGATGAGCTACTCACAGCTGTGACAGTAGCATTCCAACTTTCTGGTAGAGAAGACAAAAGTATCAATGCTCGTACTTCATCGTCAAATTCAATTCCAACTGAACTCAACTGGGTTGTGACTGTACTGAGTTCATTTAAGTGTTGCGCTACTGATGCGCCTTCCGCCATCCGCAAGTTAAACAACCGCCTCATCAAGTGAACTTTGTTTGAGGCTGACGGCTTTTCATACATACTGGAAAGAGCCGTCATAAGACCCACTGTGGTCTTTTCCTTTGCAATGTTGAAAGCAACATTACGAGATAATGTCAAGCGGATAACTCCAAGGGCTTGTCTATCAAGAAGGAACCATTCATCATCCTTCATGCCCTCTGGTTTCTTTCCTTCGAGAGGTTGATGTAGCTTTTTCTGGTACAGATAATCTTCGATCTGCATCTTCCAAAAGCTAAAGTCCGAACCATCGAACTTTTCAATTTTCACCTTTCCTTCATCTACCGCCATTGCTCCCACTCAAATCTGACTTCTCGGATCGCTTCTGCCGACAAATTGGTAACGCTGACCAATTTACACTATTCACTATTAACGTGAATAGTACTATTCACAAAATACTATTCACATGAACAGTATTCTCTCCAGCAATTTCGATGAGCTATTCACTATTCACGTGAATAGTACTATTCACGAAAAATACTATTCACATGAATAGTACTCTTGCCAAAGTTTAACAGAAACAACCAGCTCTGATACCAGTTGTTAGGAAAAATTACGCTGATCTTTCCCGTAACTTCAGATTTGAGAATGGAGCAAAAATAATTGTGGACTAATAGCACACACAAAATTGATAACGGAGTTCGGCCAACTCTGCCTACGTCTCCGGGCTGCTGCAGATATTTTACTGAAAAGGGAAATATAAATAGTGTTTACAAAACACTCACAATCTCTCAAAATACTCACAACCACTCACAACCCACGACCCAACTATATCCAGAAAAATTAAGAGCTTCTCTCTCTCAATTTTCTTATGTGTTTATGCTTTCGTTGGATACAAAAATGAATGGAGGGGCTTGCTATTTATAAGGAACGATTGCAGTGTGAACGCTCCAAATTCGGTGCCTCCAATTTGGAATTCGGTGGTCTGCCTGCCAAATTTGATTTTGCATTCTGCCAAGCCTCCAATTTTGACTTTTCAAAGTTTGATTTCTGCCAAAATTGATTTCTGCTTTCAGCTGCCAATTTGGACTTTTCAACACTGAGTACCACCTAATTCATCATACCACGTCCCACATTCTCTTTAAAATAAGTCTTATAGTAATATTGTAATAATGTAAAGAGAGACAATCCTTGTAACTAAAAGAACCATGTACCCTTACCATGTCGTTAGTACTATGGTGATATAGTACATAAAGCCTATCTGGATACAGGTTAGAATTGTTTATGAAAGATTCTCTACCCGAATTTTTTTTTATAACTTTAGTAGAAAAACTCTTCTAAGCTTATATCCAAACATGCTCATAATCCAGTACTTTATGTTGGCCAAACTGACTTAAGCTTTATGGTTTTGGTGTAGACTCTTGCACAAACACAAGAATTGAGGATTGTTATATAGTGTCCGGGGATGATTGTGTGGCTGTGAAGAGTGGTTGGGATCAGTATGGTATAGCATATGGAATGCCAACAAAACAACTTGTGATCAGAAGACTCACTTGTATTTCTCCATTCAGTGCTGTGATTGCTTTAGGGAGTGAAATGTCTGGTGGGATTCAAGATGTGAGGGCCGAGGACATTATAGCCATCAATTCAGAATCAGGGGTCAGGATCAAAACTGCTGTGGGAAGAGGAGGCTATGTCAAGGACATATATGTTAGAAGAATGACCATGAAAACCATGAAATGGGCATTTTGGATGACAGGAAATTATGGCTCTCACGCTGATGACAACTATGATCGTAATGCACTTCCTGTGATTCAGAACATTAATTATCGTGACATGGTTGCTGAGAATGTCACTATGGCAGCAAGGTTGGAGGGTATATCGGGTGCCCCTTTTACTGGAATCTGCATATCCAATGTAACCATTCAACTGGCTAAGAAGGCTAAAAAAGTTCCATGGACTTGCGCTGATGTTGCGGGGATTTCAAGTGATGTGAAACCTACGCCGTGTGATCTGTTGCCAGACCAAGAAGAGAAGATAGGGGCATGTACCTTCCCAGAAGACAGGTTGCCCATCGAAGATGTCAAGGTCCAAACGTGCACTTACAGAAGGAATTTATGATAATAGTGTAAAAGGAATGGCTTAGTTCAAGGGAACAATCCAAAGCAAACAATGTAATACTTAAAAATTGTATTTAAAACATTGCGTACTTATAAAGACTCTGAACAGGGGGACAAGAAGAACAATGATACAGAAATGAGTCAACAATAAATACACAATTTCGTTGTCATTTCACGAAATTCATTGTTTTTTTTGCCTGAACCTTGCAAAACATAAGTAGGTACCAGGTAGAAGGAACGATCACACAATTATTTGATTGCTATTGCTGCATTCAAAAGGGAGATAGTTTCGTTATGCAAACTTATTATGATTAACAACTCTTTAGTGTTACTTTTACATATCACTTTGCCACACTCAACAGAATCACCAATCACTATGCGTGAAAGCCAGGCATTTAGACGTGTAAAAAATGGTGTCATATCCAAACATTTAAACTGGAAAGCGGCATTTAAAGATAATTGTCATGCAATAAGAAAGAGGCTCCATGACACACTTTAAAGCAAACTCGAGGCAGCACAATACAACACAGATTTTTATTACTCTTATAAAGGCCTGTAACATCCAACTGGATTTCTAATGATTACCCATTTTCCAGGAGAAATTTGTTTCCATATCCTCATTGGTCTAGGACTAGATTACAAGAAAGAGAACTTCAATTTGTCCCTAGCAAATCATTTGGGCGATGCACAGGCAACATATTTAAGGGGAAAGAGGTTCATCTTGTTACATTTATACAAATAAGAAAGAATTACTGGCAGGGTGGATCTGGATTGAACTTCACTGATTCTTTCCAAATGAGCTCCTTCACGTGCTCTTCAGTGCATGATGGCTGATCAAAATCAAAACTGAATGGCCTGGGACAGACTGGCTCATCATTGATGTTGTGAAGTGATGAAAGATATGGGTGGCATAGTGCTTCATCAACTGCAAATAAATGAAAATACAACATAAACATGAAATGAAACAAATGAGATCATTTATATTTACTAAGAAAACGATTGTAATAGTGCATACCTGTAATGCGTTTGTTTGGATCAAAGATAAGCATCTTTTCTAACAGGTCCAATGCCTCAGGCAACATGTTAGGGAATCTGGCTGAGAATTTTTGCTTCCGGTACTGTGGAAGCTGTCTAATATATCTTCTGGCATTATCACTTCGCAGAAATTCAAGGCTTGCATCGTCAGGTGAACCTAATAACTTTTGTGCACAAGGAAAACAGAATGTATGAATGGTGTTACAACTTATAGCCATTAATTAATTTACACCCAACTATAAAATCAGCTTATAAGCATTTCTCATACGTTGACAATAACAACATTCAATACATTTAGGTAATGGCAGATAATAGATATAGGTAATGCAAATATGCAATACATGAGTTAGAAACTTTACATGGTTAAGCAGAGCATACCAAAATTGGAAGAAGCACCAAAACCAAAATCATACCTCCGTTATAAGCCTTAGTTGGTGAACATAGTCTTTCCCAGGAAACAAGGGTTCTCTTGTCATAATTTCACCGAGTATGCACCCAACAGACCAAACATCAATTGCAGAGGTATACTCAGAACAATTAAGGAGCAATTCCGGGGCACGGTACCATCTTGTGACAACATACTCTGTCATGAAATCGGTTTCAGTTGTTGTCCTTGACAAACCGAAGTCCCCAATTTTAAGGTCGCAGTTTGCATTCATTAGTAAATTACTGGGCTTAAGGTCACGGTGCAAAACATTAGCTGAGTGCACATATTTCAGCCCCCGTAACAGTTGGTATAAGAAGTACTGCACAAGTTTCTTCAATTATCAATTCCATGCTTAATTTCAAACTCAGTTCATAATTCAAGATGAAGATGATCTATTACAAAGTGAAGGCATGTTCATAATTCAAACATTTAAACTAAAATCTGCTAACATTCGAGAAGAGTAGAAGGGCTATATGCCTGTGTCCATATTGTTTGTAACAAGAGGTAGATAGATATTATGTTAGAAAATATAAAGACGAACTTGCTCTAAGAGATTGAAAATAACAATTATTAAGATCCAATACTATCATTTGAGCCAAACCTGGCAATGGTCTTCACTAAGAGGCTGGTCAGAATGAATTATGTGATGAAGATCAGTGTCCATCAATTCATAAACAATGTACACATCATTAAAGGTCTCCTTTTTGGGGGGTCGTATGATATCCTTGATGGCAATTATCTGTGAAAGATAAAAGCAATTTTAAATATTCAAACAATTATAAGTGGAGAACTAGCTTCAGAAATGTAGAAGAAAACACATTAGGAGATCAAAAATTGAATAAGATCGAGTTAGGTAAATTCTCTCTATATATAAACAGCATGCAAAGACAAATCATGTATAAAAAAAATCTTTCACAATACTTGTGGCAGAAGAAATGAAAAAGGACAAATCATCTCTTACCGTTGACATATATTTAAAATCTTTCTTCCTAGTAACAGTTTTTGAAACAAAATTTGTATTATTGAGTGGAAATTAGCTCAGGGGTTTGCCAGTTCTAAAATATGCTAAATATTGTACTTTCTTGACAGATCAATGCATCAGAGATTAATATCACATGAATTTATAAAAACAATTGCAACGTGATTACTAGGAATATTATATTTGAAAAACCACCTCCTCAGTTTGCAGGAGTACATCAAGGAGTGTAGAAAAGGAACAGAACAAGAAATGAACACTTACATTCTCATGGTCCATGTGACGAAGGAGCTTGATTTCTCTCAATGTCCTCTTAGCATCAATTATATTGTCAAATGCGTTACCGATCTTCTTGATAGCAACTTGTTCGTGTGTTTCGGAATTAACAGCAGCACTAAGAAGAAACATTGCTCAAGTGAACATAAAATCGTTCCAAACAGATAATAAATCTTAAGAAAGTGTATCTGTCCTAACTCAATTTTACAAAATCCACTTGTAAGGTAAGATTTACTCTTACTATATACTATATTTTGATTCATATCACTAGTTTGTGAGATCTTCAACACACTTCCCATATACTACTATATTTTGGTCAAAACATCGGTCAAAGTAAAATCTCCAACCCAACTTCGTTGAATGTGTTGAGAACTAACTCATGTCAATTTTGATCCACATCTAAGAGAAACAACTATTACTTGCTCATGTGTTGTTACAGAAGTTTTGACATAGATTTACTAAAGAACATGAATTCCCAACTCGCATCCAAACATGCACTTCATCATGTTGAGAACCGAGCATCTAACATAAAGTTTAAAAGATTGAATATCTACCGGTAGTTTGATAACAATTCGATAAGCGAATAATAATAGTTAAGATAGACTCTCATGCTTTCTTAGTTTGGGCCAAACTCAACTTGTCACTTGTACACTATATTTTAGGCATATCATTAGTTAATAAGAGATCTCCTATGAACAAATATTTCAGCACTTAACTGAAGTAGGAAATAAAACTCTTACCAGACGATGCCATTAACACCTCTACCAATTGGGCGAATAGGAGGCACGTACTTGGAGGACACTTCGAACAAGTTTCCATACACATTGTACTGTGCATATTTACCACCATGGGTGAGAACCCTTTTGATTCTAGCATCCCCTGAAGCTGAAGCAGCAGCAGAAGAGCTTGACCCTTTTGTGGCCATGTTCAGTTTTGAAACTCAAAGAGCTAAGGGTCGTCACCTTTCCAATCAAAATTACAAAGCCAATCAGAGTTTGCTCCTATCTAAGTTACCCAATAGCAAACAACAAATATCATTTTTCACTAGTTGAGTTTATTATTAGTTGATGATGGGAAAGTAAATAATACCTTCCACCCAATTAGTATAAAAAAATATAGATACTTGTGTTCATGGATCAAACATTTGTTGCAAGATAATTTTGACACATACACAAAAAGTGGTTGTAGAACATATCAAAAAGGAAAAAGTAGTTGTAGGATAAGTGTGTTTTAATGAAGCTTTTTATAAAAATCTTAGAATGGCGTTTTCGATATCATGAGTTTACCACTTGGCTATTGATCATTCTACCTGTAAAAGGCTTAAGTGTAACGTGATCTCCAAAAGCATAGGATTTGTCACGAGATGTTTGCTAATTTTCTTACAGTCATGCATCGTTAAACCTCTAGAAACAAGACCAGGCTTCTTTCCCTTTTTAGGTACGTACACCTCAGAACCCCGTCCCATTCTGAGTTCACGAATTGCATGTGATCATAAGTTGCATGGTAAAACGTGTATCTTGGTTGAAAGTATACCACGTATTGTAGTACTTTATGATGTGAAAAGAAAGAGTAAAAAGGAAATGGATGAACTAACTGAACATGAAATGAACAAAATTAATTATAAAAAATGTGATCCTCGATCGAAACTTATGTGACTGCTTTGGTGGCTTAGGCCAACGCAGCACAATAAAGTGTGCACAATTATCCCGAGATAGCGTGTATACCTCTCAAGAGACTTCTTTTGTTTCTTTGTTGGAAATCTCAATTCTTCTTTTATGTGAAATGTTTTCATAATATTTTTTAGTATGTGTCTGTTGTGTGGTGTGGTGGATGAAAGGATTTGGATATCGTCGACTCAAGTGCTGGATTTGTGTTTCGATTTTCATTGAATGTGTGAAATATGAATACACAAATGCAACTTTTGTTGGTTGAAAACTTGAAGCAAAAAATTGTTGGTGCAAATGGCATGCGAAAGTGGAAGATCAGCGTTTGACTTTGTTTCATAATACATCAGATTCAGACATTCTTTGTGCAAGTGGTGGACGAGAATAGAGTTATAAAGTACCATGCATCTATCTTCAGAGCAGAAAAACATGGCTCCTGCAAATTTTACATATATATCAAACGTTAGTTATATGGTACAAAATTCACGATATGCAGCAGGAAAAAAAATGGAGAGAATAAGAGCCTATAGAAGTCTAATGAAGAACACGAGTACGGTCACACATCTTCTGAAGTTTAATGAAATTACCTTCGATCAAAACTCTTTATCTTTTGACATTACATTCACTTCCTTCTATTAAGGTCTTACTCCGTCATAAGGAAAGGTTGTGTAAGGCCAAAAGATCATGGCAGCCATTGATAAAATTTCGTTAAATCTAATTAAAGAGATTTAAGTATAGTTTATGTAGCTAATGTTTATGTTCTTCGAATATGAAAGACACGATTGAAGAGGTTGTCCATAACATAACATAAGTTATTGCCCAAGCATCGGCCTGAACCTGAATATGAAATAGTGACCATTTATTGGAATTATTATTAACATAAACACAAAGCAATGTGTGTATTTTAGGGCTACATGTAACATGGGTGTTGAATAGACTTCACTCGCTTTAAACTCTGAAAATGTGCTTAGAAGATCCAAGCAAAGCAAGAAGGCGCAGCTTGAGTACCATGGTATTCTATTAGTGCGAATAAATAATCATGTCATGATAAGACAATCACTTCGGAGCATAATAACAGAATTCTCTCAATAATATGTACAATGTGTACCACGGAATGCACCGTACAGCATAGCAAATATAGGGTTCTCCTTATAAGAAGAATTGATTTAATAACATTAAAAGTGACAAATTGTGTACTTAACAAACTATGCACGTACACAAACCGCATACAATGTATGAGGTTTTTATGCAGCTCCACAAGGAATACCTCGATTAATATTAAGACCAAAAACCGGAATCTATACACAAAGAGAGATACTTTTTTTTTTTTTTTAACTCTTTTACCTTTTAATTTATTTATTATGTTACTTTTAAATAGTTTTATTTATATAAATTCTATGTATAGATTCTCTTTTAATAACTGCACATTATCTATATTAAAGCAAACTATTCTCTTTTAGGTAGTGTTTGTTTCGGGTGATGTACTGTTTACGAGCAACGAAAGGCGAGGAAAGTGGGTGTTTGTTTCCGGTGATTTGCAACAAAGGAAAGGCGAAGAAAAAGGGGGAGAAACACTGTTGCTATCCTCGCACAAAAGCGAAGAAAGGAGAAGAAAGCCACGTAGGATTTGTGAAAACCCGGAAATGCCTTGTTCCATGCATGCATAATCGATTATACGAAGGAAGCATAATCGATTATGGTTGGCCACATAATCGATTATGGCCTTGCATAATCGATTATGCTCAGCCATAATCGATTATGCCGGGGTATTTTCGCTTCCGGTGGAACCCAGAACGGCCCGTTCCAAAAATGAATTTTATGTACAAAATGCGAACTCAGAACGGGCCGTTTCACTTTGGGAACGGACCGTTCCAGTTTTGGAACGGGCCGTTTCATAGATGGACGTTGTGGGTTAATTTGTAACCCTAGAACGGCCCGTTCTGGTCTGAGAACGGCCCGTTCTGGTCTGAGAACGGCTCGTTCTGGGTATCAAATTTTGTTATATTTTGTTATTACTATTTATTATTATAAATATTATTATTTTCATTTTTATTAATATTATTATTATTTATTATAATTAGTATCATTATTATTTATTATGATTCTTATCATTTTTCTAATATTTATTATTATTCTTATCATTATTTATTATTTTTTTAATAAATTATACCTATTAATATAATTTTATTGTAATTATTATTATTTACAATAAATAATATTATACTCATTTTTAATCCAACGGTAAAAGTGTAAATTATATATTCATCTATTAAATTTTTAATTTTTATCTATCATTAAATTTAAAGCAAATATTTAAATTAAATTATTTTTAAATTAATATTTTATAATTTTTTTAGTTAAAATTTATATATTTATCTTTTAATTATAATAATTAAAAACCTTTTTTTAACCAAAGGGCAAAATAGTAATCTTACATAATTATCAATTAAAAAATTTATTTTTATCTATCACATCAATCAATTCACTTACAAATTTTCACAAACTTTCTCTACACTTTTCACTCATTTTCCCTTAATCCAAACAACCTCACTTTCCACTCACTTTCCCTTCAAATCTCTCCTTTTCCACTCCCCCTTTTCCATCCTCAAATCCAAACAAAGCCTTCATAAACTGATCAATTGAACTTTTACGCTGCCCGATGTTTTAACATTGCACATAAATCCTTAGGGGCAATCCAAAATCAAATACTATTCTACAAAAACTAAAACTAATTTTTCGTAGGCACAAATAGCATCATTTTCAAGTGTTAACGCTCTCACCCGCATCACACAACATTACAGAAAGTAGAGTATTGCCTGTAGAATTGCGGAACCCCAGTCACGACTACTTTTGCAAAAGAAAAAATCTCGGGCAGATTACATCTCAATGGGCGTAAAATGAGACTAAAAGTTGCCAGTGTAATTTTTTTTAATGTTATATAATTAACTTGAAAGTTAAAAGTTAATAATGTATTCAAGCAAATATTTGTAATAAAGGGTTCACTTCATATGCCTTTCTAATATAACTTGAGCTTAAAACACTATGCATTAATTATTCTGTCTTACTTCATGGGCAGGCAAATTTTAGTAATTAATCCATATTTAAATAAATTTTTCTAAAAACACTTTTAAGAGAGAAAAATAAGAAAAATTGAAATAAACTTCTACATAAATTAAAACCAACTAATACATAATTTAAAAATAAGATTTTGAATAAGCTAAAAAGAGAGCTTCTACAAATTACTTATGTATAAACTAATTTTAACTCATTAAAAAACTTATTTTATTTTTTCTTTTTTATATTTCTCTCCTAAAAGTGAATTTGGATAAGTTTACCCAAATAGACCCTTTCTCCTAAATATGCTAAGTTGTAACGAAAGTTTCAAGTTTCAACCCAAATTTAACTGAGTAGGGAGAATCGCAAGCATTTGAATGAGTTCTAGACAGAACAATAAATGGGGAAGAAAACGAAAATAGAAGTTTGACCAACGAATGAGCCACAAATTAGCAGAAACACTCAAAATTCAAAAATCTTCACTGAACAAAAAACTGAATATAAAGTGTCAAGCCGATTAAACAAATCTATAAGAGGGAAATCTATCATTGACTCCAACTACAGACACATTTTTCTAGAAAACTAAACAAAAAATAAAGTAGAAAACATTATACTTAAGGCAGATTTGAGCTGGTTGGCGCTCCAAAACCACCAGATCCACGGCCAAAGCCAGGCCTTCCGCCAGGACCCTGCAATAAGGCAAACCAATTGATAGATGAAAAAACAACAATAATGTTCTATATAGCATGGTGTACACCAAAAAAATGTTCTAAGCTCATGCAATCATAGCTATGATCATTAGAAGAACTAATATGCTTCACATACACAGCTACCATAACATTAACCAAAAACTTCGGTTCTGCTACATCAATCACGACACTATTGATCAATTAAAAATCAAGCTTTCAAAATTGCAAACAAAGCTAATGGAGGAAAATAATTTAATTGCAATGTCTGAATGAGGTAAATACTACACATGTACATGAGTTTCCAACACAGGACTTGGTTTCAAATTTTCCACAACAAATAAAAGTCACATCATAGAAAACTATATAAACTTCTCAATAAGAACCCTTAAGAGAGAGAAAAAAAAACAATAAAAAAAGTCAAAATGAATCGATCTTCTTGCACATACTAATATTAACTTGTGCATCTCAACTTGTCTGAAATATCTCCCCATAAGTACGTATAAATTTACAAGTGCTTGGAACCAAATACTTATTAAGTTAAAAAGCTCTATAAGTTAGAAACAAATCCAAACTGAACTACGATATAAATCATTCCTTCCCACCAGAAGCAACCTATAAAGTAAAACATAACATAACATCAAACACAACCAATCTAAACCCTAAAGAAATACAGCAAACAATGATAATGCAAACTATGCCACAAAGAATACCAATCATAATTACACTAAACATTAAACAACAGAGGAAATGCAGCAACAATAAGATTACCCCGAAAGAGGGCCTGTAGTCAGCAGGAGCTCCTCCCTTGTCTCCTCCAAAGTCACCACCAGGTCCCCGGGGACCTCCACGGTATCCATCCCTGTCACCACCAAACCTACGCTCCCCGCCTTCAAAGCGCGGTGGACCCCTGTTCAAAACAACATAAATCAGCCACAAATCACAATCAACCAACAGAAACTAGAGTTAATTCAGTTAGTAGCTTATATCCAAATCCCTAGCTCTCTCAAATTCAGTTAGTCCCACATATTAGCTTACATAACACTCATCTCTCCCATCCTACGAACACATGCTCTATTGCTTTGCACTATCATCTTATTCAATCAAATTACACAATAATACAATCCGAGCATTAGGGTTAAAAATAGAATACCTAGGGCGATCACCGGATGGGCCACCGAAAGGCCTGCCAGGTGGCTTGGCTTGCTTCTTCAAAGTGGCAGGGACAATTTCGGAAGGAAGATTAAGGTAGGTTCTGAGAAACTCGATGCCATCGTTGGTGAGGAACCAGTAGTAGTGCATCCAAGCAAAGGTCTCCCTCACGTACTCGCGAGACTTAAAACTCTGCATCAGCTTAATCACCTGCAGATTCGGCACGTCGATGTCAGGGTGCTTCGCCAAATTGAAATCCTTCTTCGCGTAGCAAACTCCCTCTGCACACCGAGAAAAAGGTTAAATTCAATTCAACGAACGAAGGAAGATGAATCGTTATAAATGTTGGGGAACCTACCTTGGAAGAGGTATTTGCAGATCTCCTTGCGGTTCTTCTCTGGAATGATCTGAACAAATAAACGCGCACGCAAATGTTTAAGTCAGAGAAATAAATTGAACAGAATGATGGAAACGAATCGTGATTACGTTCCAGAGGAGTAAGAATTTGACGAGGACGCACCATTGTTACAAGGTGGAAGCGGAGGGAATGGAGGCTGGGAAACCAAGCTCTGCGAATACTTCCACAATGTTATCCCTTTCTTACCAACTTCCCTATAAACCCTAACTTCTCTTTTCATCGCTTTTAACATTAGTGGGCCTATTAATGGGCTCGTATTGGTTCATTAACCCATGGACTACAAACACACTTGGAACTTGGGCTCCTTGTTTATATTTTTTATTTCGATTAAATTATTTATTTATATTATATTTTGAAATAATATATTTGTAAAAACAAATAAATATTAAAATTATACTAATTTATCTTATTTATGAAAATTACTTAAGAAAATGAAAAATGTATAACACTTTACTAATACAAAAATAAACTTTGTGATGAAAAAAAATATATTTAGTTCTTCTAAAAATTTCAAAATTCACCTCTCTCTGGCTTGAACTCCAAGCAATTTTCCCCCATATTTCTTCTCTCTCGAGACTCACCATCTGAATCACGCACTCTCTCTCTCTAGCAGCAACGTGAACCTTTCTTTGTCACTACAACAAGCTGAACCTCTCTTTCTCTCCGCAATCTCTCTTGTAGCAATACAATTCCATATATGTATAAGTCTCTCATCGGTTCATTTTATTTTATTATTATATAACAAGCTAATTTTAAAAATTAAATGTTATTAAATTTAATGGTAAGATGTGTAACTGCATGAACCACTAGAGTCTGCTTGCACGTATACAAAGGGATTACCCCGGAAGGGTGCATCTGTTGGATACTATCACGAGGTATGTTTGTCAAAGAATTTCTTGTTCCTTTTAATTGTATTCTGTTTTTTTTTTTTTTTTGTCGTTTTTCTTTATTGAAAAAGTTATCCATGGAAAGCATGGTCAAGCTAAGTGCCACTTTTACTGAAATTGATATATTCACTTTGCTTAAAGGATATATTGTGCCCTCCTGTCTTAACTGTGATGTATCATGTATGCATGTCATTTTTTTTAATAATTTTTTTCTCTTATTGTTTTCTTAATTCTTTGTTAACATTATTCTCTAAAATTATTTTCATTGCATCATTACTGTCATATATGAGCACTTGTATTCCTTTTCTAACTGCAGGATGCATGTTCTGCCAAGTCACATTGAATTTGTTTGTTGAATTTGCGACTTGTCACCATGGTCCTCTCACATTTGTAGATCAAGTTTGTCTGTTCAGAGAGATGCCCCACTAATATAATATGTATCTTGTTCCTAACAATCTGCAATACATATTGCTGTTTGGGCACCTATTGGCAGTGCACAACAACAATGGCCCTGTTTATCTCTAATACCATAAGTGCTCTGTTTTGATTCTTTAGTTTTAATTATTTCTTTTACAGAAAACTTATGAAAGAGTATGCTACTTCAACTAGAAAATTCCTCTGGTGGATCAATTTTGTTTGGTGGGTTATAAAGCAAAAATAAAATTCAGATCCTATAAACATGTAGCTGCTGAATGGAGGTATTTATACTTGTAACATGTAAGTGCCTAATCTCACCCAAAATTCACCTTTCTTCTGGAATCAACACTTTTTGTAGGGTAAGTAACTCTGCCTAAGCCTAAAACTTCATCTTCATTTCCATCTTAAGCAGTATATAATGATTTCGAACTCGGTTATGCTATTTCTTATGAAATAAAGTTCAAGATAATGAAATATGTAAATCGCAAGATTCATTTCCACAAAACCTATGACTAGCAAAAAAATTTAATGCCCTTGCTATTTGCTGGATTTATTAAATTTTTCACAAATTTAATAGGAGAATAAAAGCACAAGCTAGACACTGGACAGAGGAAGCGGTCTATCGTTTTGGTTTAGCCTCTCTTTCTTCGTGTTAATGGAATTTGCAATTTTCCTTCTTACACATTTTTTGTTGTCTTTTTTCAATATTCTTTTGTTAGATAGCCCACAATTTTTAGTGATAACACTCTCGAACTATGCAATCATGTGGTTTTGACAAACGTAACAACCTTTTGATTTGGATGGTGTAGAAGCACAATGGAAGGAACTAGAAGAAAATAGGTGTGGGATGTGGCTGTATCTCTATTTTAACTTCCATTTTATATTTAATTTGCTTCATGTGGCTCATCAACAAGTTACTAAAGCTTAACTCATCTCAAAGGTATATTTAATTTGTTTCATGTTTAAGTGTTGAACTAGAAATGCAACAATTCACAAATTAATATATAAATTATTTTACTATTTATATTATAATTATTAGTTAATGTTCTTATATGTGTATAAATTGGTTTTTAATTACAAACATTAATTATCTTGCATTTCATAAAAAAAAAGTTTTTAATAATGTATATTTGTTGAATTTAACATATATAATTCACATTTTTTTATATATATTTTAATTTAATTTAGCATACAACAGACGAGTAATATATTAAATATTTGTTTGAATGAGAATAATAAAATGTGTTAATACAATATAGATTTACATATGTAATAACTTTTGATTTTAGTTCTTATAAAAAGAATTATTTTTATTCTTTTAAATTTAAAATTATTTTTTAATTTCTATTATTATTTAATCTTATTAACTACTTATATATTTATCATAAAGTTAAGTAACAATATCAACTAACACTCACAATAATTATGTGTTATAGTGTCGGTGTGTAATATATAAATTTTTAATATATTGTTGAAATAAATGTTATTTATCTATTTATTATTATTATTATTATCTATTTATTTTAAAATGATTGTTAAAGACTAAAAATAATAATTTTAGGTTTTAGATGAACGAAAATTTTAAAAAGTAATTTGAGACTAAAATTAAAATTTATTCGGTTTATAAAAATCAAAACTAACTATTTCAAATTTTACAAAGGTGAAGAGTAAATAATTTTTTTACATGACCAAAATCAAAATTCAATAATTTTATAAAAATTAAAAATATATTTAAGTCTATAATCTAATAGGTATGTAATTCATATATTTGATGTTTTTTTTTAATGGAGTGAACTCTTCATTTTGATTCTTGAAATTGTAACAAACATTCAACATAGTCCTTGAAAGAATGAAAACTATACATAAATTAATTTATAAAGTTATACTTTTTTAACCAATTTAGTCATTTTGTTACTTATTGTTAGTCACTTCGTTAGAAAAAAAAAATTATTAGGTGATCTTAGAATAAATAATCTTTAATTAATTTCTATATAATTTATAATTAAGTGTAATTAATTTTTTTCACAAGTTAAAAAATTTAGACCCATGTCAAGTAGTGATTAGTTGTAACTATAGAAACTCAGTACTTTTGAGCAACATAATAGTTTCTCGTTGTTAATTAGAAAATGATCAATATCACACTAAATGCCCCGAACACATCCTCTCTCTCCTAGGGAGCCTTCCTTCTTCTCTCTCCTACGAGACTATCTTCCATCACCTTCAACTTTCTCCTCTCGTTCCTTAATTCCACCCTCTACAGTTAGTTTATGAAAATAAACAATGAATTCTTAAATAAATTTTTTGTTAAATAAGCTTATTTTAGTTAAACTAATTTATAAAATAGCCATAAAAAGCTTATACGTTTGTGAAATACCTTGCTAATCATACTCTAAATTTATAGTTTGTATATCATGGTTTGATATTAACCAAAAAAGTGATCTTTTTTCACTTCTACCTCAAACAATAGTTAATCCTTATTCAAACACAAAGTCATATATTCAAACACAGCTTTATCATAATTTTGTCACACGCTATAGTGTATTTTAATGTGTTTATAAACTTAATTTTAATCGGTTATAATTATAAAGTAATTTATTTGAAATTAATTTTTAAATAACATAATTTACGTAAATTGTTAACTCACTATATAAAAGTTATATTATTTTTACGTTTAGTGAATCGTGCTTTTAAGAGTAAACTTGATTTTAGTTTGTAAAAACTGTATGCAGAAAAAAAAATGTGTAAAAGCACATTTGAAGCATTCAAACACGAGTTTGGAAATATTAATTATTCATGACAAAGCTAGCTAGTAAATAATGAATATTATTATGTACTAATAACGTGGTTATAAAAAAAAAAAAAGAGTTTTTAAAGTCTCAGCCATTCATCCAAACACATTATTACTGATTTGTAGACACTATTTAAATTTTTTCAATTGAGATTTGAAATCTACAAGAGTTATTATCAGTGCAAGTAAAACTAAACTCAGTGTACTAATTAAATAAGATTTTAAATTTAAAGTTTGCAGAGGGAATAAACATAGTTATAAAAAGAGACTCCATTAAAAATAATTAATGATATTTTAAAAGAGAAATTCTATAGTAGCCATGTTATTTGAGAGGGTACGGGTACAGTTGTAATTACAATTTTATTTTATATTTTATATTTTTAATAATTTATTTAAATAATATTTATGATATTTAATTCTTTCAATTTTTAAATTATTTAGTTATTTTATTTTTATTTTATATATTCTAATTTTATTTGTAATAATATTATTATATATTTACATAGTTTAATTTTAATAATTTTTTTAAGTATATTTTTCTCTTTTCACTTAAATTTTTAAATTTTTAAATTTTAATTTTAATAATTTTTTAAATATATTTTTGTCTTTTTATCTTAAATTTTTGAATTTTTATATTGTAATTTTAATAATTTTTTATTTTTACTATTTATTAATTCTTTTCTTTTTTAATGTTTTGTAATTAACATTATTGAAATCTTATAATTTTAATCTCTATAATTTTATCTTACTTTCCATTTTATAAATATAATTTGAATTATTCATTTTATAATTAAATTAATTTTTTTTAATTCTTTATGAGTTTATATAAAAGAATGTATTGAAACTCCTCGATTTTTGAGGGTACCGTAACAACTCCCATTTTAAAAAACTGAGATTTTTTGGAATATTTCCTCTAAGCCATTTTATAGAGAGAAAAAATGATGACATATTATACTATTGATATCAATTGTTTTTTTACAAAAAGAACCGATGTAATATTGTCTAAACATACACACTATAATAAAATGGTTTTGCTAATCATTGTATGTAGAATAATGATTAAAGAATCAAAAATTAATAAGGCATTAAAAGGTATAATTTTTAATTTTCTAAGCAAATTTTCACTGTAATTTTTATTAAAACTTTTATACATATATAACATCTTTTTAACTTTCAGAGAGTTAAATGAACCGAGTGTTAATGTAATTAAGGACAATAACTAGTAAAATTGATAAATAAATAAATAATAATAATAATAATAAAGCGTATTGAATGGCCATTATTGTTGTTGTTGATTTAACCTAATCAACCCGCAACTGTCAAGAAGGAAACAAATCAATGCATGCACAGCACAGCCTTAAGCCAGAATCTCTTTTTCTCTCGCTTTTGCATTTGGTGTTTTTGGGACTTGGGCATTGGGGGACATGCATGTGATGATAAGTCAATGTTTTTTTCACTTTTGGTCTTTTCCACAGACAGGTTGTTGGTATAAAAGGACATGTAAAATGTAAAGTTTGAAAACCCATTATTGTCGTCCAAAACCACCACAGTCAAATATATACAGAAAATAGAAAATGCTTTAACATATATCTTTGCTAGGAAGATATACTTTATACGTACTATCTTCAAAGTCACTATAAAAGTGTGTGAGTGGGCAAAACCCATGCATTATTTTCATTCAAAATCCACCACATGTACAGTCAAATATTTAGCAATTCGAAGATGCTTTACATATCTTCAAAATCAAACTTTTTCTGCTAGTTTCAATCACCTTTATTTTTCCCCCTTCCACGTCAAAACACCCGACAAAATCAAACTTCACGAATGCCTACATACAACACATTTAATTTTACCTTCAATTCACTCACATTTCACAATCTTTACAAATCAGCAATCAAAAGAAAAACATGCATCTCTGCAAATTCACAAAGCCTGGCCTGGACCATTTGATGAAAATGTCTTCCTAGCTAGTTAGAGAGGTCATAATAAGAAGGGAGAGAAAAAAAAATGGGGACACCTTCCACAATCATTGTTATCTCACAAAGAAGAAGGAAAAGGAGAAAGATTATTTGCTTCCACATTTGATGAATTTGGTGCTAGTTCTTCCCCACCAAGCTGTCCATCAACGTTGTCCCAGAACAAAAAGTTAGCACATTGTTGTTGTGTTTCCACCCATTCATTTAACTCTTGTCTCTGCAAGCACTCTAGTGCTATATCTCCATGCTCGTCCATGTTACAAGATTGTACCTCAATTGGGACCATGTTATCCACGTTCTCTACCAAAGGCGGCAAGTAGTTTGTGGTGTCCAAGCCTACAGTAACGGTAATAGGAGGAAGTGCCTGAACCTGGTGGTGGCTTAAGTTCCATGTTTCAGTGCTCAAACCCATAGCGTCTTGAAAGGGTTCTACTCTCACACTATTGCAGTGATCTGTTGCTGTGCTTTCTAGTGAACTAGTGTCAAACATGAACAAAGGGCATGTTGAGGAAAATAAGGTTTCTTGAACTGGTGGTTTTGTTTGTAGGTTATCTTGGTTGGCAAAGTGGTCTAGTACATTGGAATTGAAGTTGAAATGGGAAGGATTATGATCGATACTTTGTGCAATGGTGGTTGATGACACCGAAGTCTTTCTTATTTTCTTTTTTATCCATGAGTTCCAATAGTTCTTTATCTCATTATCCGTTCGACCCGGTAAGTGGCTTGCAATGTGAGCCCATCTGCATTTCGCAAATTCAAGAATTAATAGAAGCTAGCCCACACTTCAAACCAAGATAAACTTATGTTCTTAATCAGCAGAAGTTTGTATATATAATTTACATAAAATCAAAATGTGGAAGCATTTAGGTCGAGAAATACTTGAAAAGAGAAAATTAAGAATATATGTTTTTTTTTTTTCAAGAAGTATACATATCTATATATAAAGCTGTGATGGTGGGAGGGTAGCGGATCCTATGAAGGTGTACAAACTAAAAGTGAACAAGAAAATATCAATTGACAGAATTATTTGGTTAACCCTAAAACTGCAGCTCAGGGCTCGATATTTAGCTCCTTTAGATATAGCCTTTACTTAGAAAGGATTTTTTTTTTGTATATAAAAATATGGGACAACTTTTGTCGTTAATTTTGATTTCTAGATATTTTTGAGTTGTATACGAAAAATAAATTCAGTAAATGATGAGAGATGGAGATAATTGAAAATGAAGTCAATTATATGATATGTTTAAATAATTGAATTGAATTAAAAATATGGGTTATAATCGGTTCAAATAGTTTGTATAGATCAAATACAATTAGCTAGGTAGAACTCGTGGAGGCTAGAAGTACAATGCTGTCTTTAAACTTAGTTTATAAACTGCTTGATATCTCATTATTCAGTCAATACATAAAATTAATCACGTATATAGCCAATATTTGTTCCAGAAAACTCAACTAATTTCATACTTTCCGAAATTCATTTTTTTTGCCAATGAGATAGTTATTCAACCATATATTGGTGACGAAAAATAAAAGGCATGTCTTATGACACTTGGACAGAAGATATTGCAAGAAGAGCAAACAAGGAAAGGGTTGAACTGATTATATATGATTGATCAAAATCCTGGGTAGAACTACAGAATATAGTGTAATTCAAACCTGTTTCCTACGACCCCATGAAGGTTTATAATTAACTTCTCCTCTTCGGGTGTAAACCTGCCTCTTCTAATATCTGGTCTCAAATAATTAATCCATCTCAAGCGACAACTCTTGCCGCACCTTTGAAGCCCTGAAATCCAAGCACAGATGAAAAATATTACATATACAAGACTTATGTTTTTTAAATTTAATCATTAAAATTGATGTCAGTTTCTATCATCATCATCAAAGAAATTCTTTAGTATTCTAAAAAATTTAAGGATTTCGATAGTGTTATTGAGAATCTGGTCACTTTGGTGTACCCAAATTAATGTATAAAACTAATTGTACAGAACTCTTAAATTTGTTTAGATACAAAAGCAACTGTCCTGAATAAATATTAATTAAAAAGAAAAAAAGAAGAAAAACACAAACCAGCTTTCTCGGGAACTTCACTCCAACAGCCATAGCCATGAGTTGTAATGTATCTGATGAGTTTCTCATCTTCTTCAGGAGACCAAAGCCCTCTTTTAACTTTCTGTTGGTTGCAGCAAGAGTGGTGACCCATAATTCTAGGCTTCTTGCTGTGTCGTAATCTTTTTCCTTCTTTTCTATTCTTGTTCCCCAAGTGGCTCGTATTTGGCTTGATCAAATTAATGGGGATTTGTGTGCAATAGTTAAGACTCTCTTTCTTTCCTCTTTTAAAAGTGAGTGAAGTACATGCCCTAGCCGACATACATTGAGAACCTGTTGTAGGGTCCATGCAAGGGACCCATCTCCATCTAACCCTACAATGTCAGCTCCATCTAACCATACAATGACATTCCATCAACTTAACTCTAATGCTAGCTATTGATTAGTGTCTAACCATTTTCTACGTACATGCGAGTGGAATTACGTAACCAAACCTCATCATATACCACTATAACTAAAGCCCCTCTCCCCATCTTCCAATTATAGTCACCAAATATGGGTATAAAAGAAAAGGAGAGGATGAGATAGTAATATTATCATTGCCGGTTGTTTCTGCACCTCCTTCTCCCTGTCTGCTGCAACTATACAGAATCGTCATGATATCAATAGAGCAAGTGGATTCTCAATGTGAAAATGACGGGGACGATTATTCGGACATTCACCAACTATACATTATCACTAGTTTCGTTTATATTGACACCGGAAAAATATATTTGAATAGTTGTCATCTTTGGATTTTTTTTATTATAAATTTTTCTAGAAGCACTTTATGAGAAAAAAAAATTTATAAGTTAAAATTAGTTTCTGCACATGCTAATTTGTAAAAATTCTCTCATATAATATTTCAAAAAAAAACTACAAATTAACTTATATATAAGTTTTAGTTTTTGCAGAAATTTATTTATTTTTTTTTTGTTAGAAGTATTTTTTGAGAAATTTATTTAAATAAACTCTTAACAATGAGTTCATGCCTAACTCAATCCTACATTATTGTGTGTGTTTGGAAACAAGTTGAGGCCAATATATACTTGTACCAATTGTATCTTTTTGTTGCTTATACATTTCCTTCGCAAAGTGAAGTTCTTCATTTGAAGGGCAGCAAATGACAATCCAAACATGTTAATTGACTTCTAAGATAAGGTTGATCTTTATATAATTAGAATTGAATATTTTAAATGAGTTTAAATTTAACTTAACTCTATAAAATTAACTTATAAATAAAAATTATTCTTGAATTATATACTTTATTGTTATTATCATTTGATATGAAATATTTAAAACACTTTTTAGGAAAACTAAATATTTGAAAGTGGTTGAATACCATTAAAATAAACTTTAATAAAGTCTTAAAATGTGGATTTAAGTTTAATAAAATTAAATTGTGAGATGAAAATTATCTCTCACTTATATATTATATTTTAACTTTAGTATTTAAAATTTTTAACATCATTTGATAGTTCTTACTTATATGCACAAGAATATCTAAATAAATATTCACTATTTCCCATAAGATTATAAATTTTCTAGATAAATGTAAGAAATTCTCTCCTTTCTACAACCCCTTTCACTTAGGGGATGCCTTTATCTTCGTAAGGACCCCTTTTTACAGTGTGGTGGTGAAATACTGCATTCACGAAGAAGATTTAGTAATTAATTTTTAGTTGTCATGCATATAAGTTATCCATCTAGCTTTTCACTACCTCTTCGAATGAACATCTTAAATTTCCACTCATTAATATTTTAAAAAAAAATGGATTGGTTTATCTAACAGACGAATAATATTTTTATTAATAAAAAATTACAATAATAAAAATAAAAATTCAACTCACACTACAATAAAATAGACTTTTAGTGATAATAAAAATTGCTACAAAATCTTTTACCGGCATTTCACACATTAGTCATTATATACAGTGTCGCTAAAATATTTACCGGCAATTATTTTACATGCTGGTAAAGACCTTCATAATGGTCGAGAAAAGTGTATAACTTTTTTGTGTTATTTGTTACTGACATTTAAAATTGCCGCTAAAAGTTTAAGAAAAAAATTATAATACTCTTTAATTATCTTATTTCTAGTCAATTTAGGACTTGTAAGATGAGTACAAGCACTCTTTAGTTACCTTATTTCTAATTGATGTGAGACTTGAAGATGAAAGTATCTTCTAAGTATATATTCTTTAATTTTTTTTAATTATCTTATCTCCTAATACCAACTTAGAATAGTAAGTTATAGGCCTAACTCAACCTTATAAAACATACTTGTAAGTTGAGAGTTATCACTTATATATTCTTTAATTATTTTATTTCTAGTCGATGTGAGACTTAAATTTTTTCTAACAAATAATTATTGCTAATAATAAATTTTGATGTGATGTAAATATATTTTTAATGATAAATAGTTATGAATATTTTTATTAAATAATAAAATAAAGATAATTAATTTATTGTTATTAAATACTCTTAATTACCAGGTCTCAGTTTTAGTATAAAGACAAACAATATAATGTTAAAAGGTGAAAACAATTATGTATTAATGAAATGTTTGAAACCGACAGTACAGCACATGAACCAGGAATGAGTTAGCTAGGTTTATGATTGTCCATATATATAAAGTTTGCAAAGCAATGAGAAGGGGCTTATTTTCTTTATCCATTTTTTTTTCCTTTCAGAAAGAGCTTTATTGAAGTCCTAAGTTTTGCATATCAATTTTTCCCGTCAAGTCTTTATAGATTGAAGAATTAATTAGTTAACAGGTCTGGTGCATAATTAAATTAATCCCTATCATTAAATAAATGTGAAAAATACAAGCAGAGTACAAAAATAACTTATAACCTGTATTATTCATAAAGGGTGTCCGTTTCCCCCTTAATTTTCATATGAAACACAGAACTGATTAAAAAAAAAAACAGACGTTAAACTTAAAAGGAAAATTACAAATAATGGTATCCAATTTTGTATTATGGAAAATTACCTCGAGAAATTGAATTTAATTAGATAACTTACGCTCTCGAACTTTAAACAACTAGTTTTTTTTTCCAATTTTTTTTTCATATGTCCAGTTTGAATTTCGTACAACTTTTCAATAATAGAAAATGCTTATAATAAAAATAAATAAACATAATAGTGAATTTGGCTTTAAATTACAAATTATGGTATTCAATTTTGTATTATGGAAAATTACCTCAAGAAATTTTAGTTTAATTAGATAATTTACACTCTCAAACTTTAAACAATTAATATATATATATATATATATATATATATAAAGGAGGTTATAATTATACTGATGTAACTTTTATTAAATATTATACCGCTCAATAACTTTATATTAAATGTAAGTTTTGTAAATCCAACCGTTAGATTAAAAGTTCATATCTCATTTAATCTTTATAAAAACAAATAACCTAAACATATCTCCTTGTTAATTAAAAAAGATAATTAAGATTATCATACACTTTAAATTAAGAAAAAATTTCATATTATATAAAATAACATATATTATAACTAATATGATAGAATAGTACATATATGTCTACCATATAAGTACAATATAATTGATATTTTTAATCATTAAAAGAGTTATTTAGTATCATAATTTTTATTTTTATTTTATCTATATCACAACTATCCTCTACGAAACTAAATAATTTTGTTAAACACAAACTATAAAATTTCATTTATTAAAATATATAATAGTTTTAAATTTTAAATATAATTTTACTCTCTTTAAATGTCATAGTTTTTGGTTCAATTTTTTCAATTTTAAAAAGATAATTGTGTTGTAATTCAAGATCTCCAATTAAGTTAAAATAAATTTTATAAATAAATTCATTTTCTTATTAAAAAATTAAGTTATAATAACTTTACACGGATTAATTTACATGCTCAATTGTGATTAATAAATATTTTTAATCATGTATTTTTTGTCATTAAGTATTTAAAAAGATTAAGTTATAACTTTTTAAAAATGAGAAAATTTAATAAGAAAATTGTAATATTTAAAAGAATAAAAGACTACTTAAATTTAATTTAAATAATATAAATTTGATTAATATTATAATAAATAAATAGATCGTAAGAATGAAAAAACACGTAAGTATATAAAATTGATGGGTGAAAAGAAGTAATGCTTATCTAACAGAATATGACAAAAGCAAAAGAATTGGAACTCTGATAAGTAATATATAAGCTTCAGTACTTCATTTATGGAATTTCATTTTCTCGTTTCTGTACTATTCTTCTAATTAATTTTTGGGCATACTGAAAATTTGGAACTTGAACCAGATATTTGGATTTGTTTTCTTCAGCCGTTTTCTCGTTGAACCTTGGCTTGGTTTTATCCGAAACGCCGACACGTTTTCATATTGGATAATAATTTCGTTATTCCTGTTATTTTTCAGAAACAGGACATAGTCCTAGCGAATCTCCTTTGCAGGGGCAAGAGTCCATGTGAATGCGTCCAAAGATCCATCACAAACCCAATGGTCGGGAATGATCGGCAAGATGGAGACTGAAAGTTCTTTTTTTTTTTTTTTTTTTTTTTTTTTTTTTTTTTTTTTTTTTTTTTTT